TGATCTCTTCCCAGAGACACAAACAGCACTTCCTCCAGCTTCAAACCACCCAGGAATAGAAATCCAGTTGATGATTTCCTTTGGCAGCACGTTTCACTATTAACTACGCCATCACTTGGCTGCATTGACTGATTTTTTGAGAAGATATTTTGTATGTTGTTGTTTTGTCAGTTTTATTTAGTAATTTTGTTGTATTTTTTTACTAAGTGGCATAACAAGGTTTTAATCAGTGCAAAATTTTGCTTTGGAAAATATTTATTTGAAAATCATTAAACATGTTCAATTTATCAGGGTCACTGCAGTATAAGACAAGGGCTGCTTTCATGTGAAATCAATGTGTGTGAATTATATGGGCAGGAATGTGTAGTTACTCATTGGTTACGTGATGCCCAGGGTAATAAATATTTTATGTCCTAGCATGGCTGATAATTTATTAGGTGGGGGCTAATAGGTGAACCAATATTATTATATGGAAGGAAAGAGGGAGCATTTTGTGAGAAAAGAGGAGCTATAGCAACTATAGACTTCACCCTATTTTCAGTAAAGTTAATGATCAAACTTGTGACATGTCTACACTGCAATAAAGCCCAGGCTCAAAGATAACCCCACTCTTGTTGTGTCTACATTGCAATTGCACTAACCTAGGACTGGTCCCAAGACCCTGCAGGGATAGCAGGTGTGAGCTCAAGTCAAGGAGGGTATGTCTACACTACCCTCCTATTTCGAAATAGGAGGGTAGTGTAGACATACCCTCCTTGACTTGAGCTCACACCTGCTATCCCTGCAGGGTCTTGGGACCAGTCCTAGGTTAGTGCAATTGCAATGTAGACACAACAAGAGTGGGGTTATCTTTGAGCCTGGGCTTTATTGCAGTGTAGACAGGTCTGAGTCCTATTGTTTAGCAGCATAGCCACAGCCCTGCTTGACTCTGGTCCAGGGAGTCATCTGGAAGTATCCCATAATCCCATGGGGCAACTTTTTTAGTTCTCTCTAGGGCAACCACCTACAATCCACTCTATCAAAAACGGAAGCCCCGCCTCGGTTGGCAAAGCCCAGTGTTCCCTAACACAGGTCAGGAGACTCAAACCACTGTCACACTGAAGTGCAGGCATACTCCGCTTGACTTCAATGGTGCAGGTTCTGGGCCTATCTGAACTTACCCAATGGTAGGACATTCAGTGAAATTGAGGCCTGGAGGTGATCAAAGTGATGTGAAAGAGGCAAAGAGCTCCCAATAGAAAAGGGAGAAAACCACAATGGCTAGTGTCCCCTTCAGCGTGGGCCAGGGGAAAGCTGTGCATGAGCGGTCTTTGCAAGTGCACATCTGGAGAAGAGATTTTGCCCATAGAAATGCAGCAGTTACTGCGAGAACTGTTTGTTAAAATTTCAGGTAGAAGATTAAGAAATAGTCTAAAAGTATTACTTATTTTGTAATGTGCCACATATAGAAGCACCAGTTGTGGATCAGACCCCCCAAGAGAAATGCATGGTTTGTATGCAGCCCCAATTATAAATAATTAGAAAACTTCATAACAGTTCATGTCTGGGTCAAGAGTTAAGACAGCCAGTAATTGTTCTGAATTAAACAATTATGAGGCGGCCTGTATCAATTAAAGCCCTTTGCTCTCCTCCCTGCCCTGGTTTGGCCCTTACATATGTTTAGAGTATGCACGGCCATACTGCTCGGGGGGAGCAGGGAGATCACCTGAAAAGCTTAGATCTCACCTGTTTGTTTGAAGGCTGGATCTAGCCAGCGCTATCAACCACATGCTTTGAGAAACACAAATTACAAAATGGAAAGGAGTTGATTGTTTTCTTCCTCTTCACATTGCATGTCAGAATTTATTTCGGTTTGTCTCAATTTGGAAGAGGCCTTACGTAAGGTGCAGAAAAATGTCTGGAAGTGGATTTGCCAGTTCCAAAGGCCGCCTTTGATTTTTACAAATTTGAATTTACTTTTTTCCTATTGGCCATCCTCACTGGCGTCATGCACTGTTTGCTGTTTAGCTGAAGCAAAGCAGCTGCAAAACCAAGCCTAAACTGGCAGTTAAGTGGTTATACAATAATGTGACTTTGTCAGATTGGCACAAAGCAGCCAAATGTACCGGTGAATCTGGCCTACTGTTGGTCTCCATGAGTAGCTTCCATTCCCATGGTTTGTAAGTCCGAAGATATTTTTGATCTCTGTGAATTCTGCCTGCCACATGATTGCTTATTAGATGTTGTAACATTGTTTGTTGTTATTGGTAGGAGGAATTTTACATCAGCTCAGTGAGACACATTCTGGATCACTGTAGAAGTGGCCTCCAAATGGGCATATTTTATGTCTGTGTCTGCCACAGCGTGCACAGGTTCTCACATAGATTGTGCCTCAGGCAGACTTCCCAGGCAGATTGGTCCTGCTTGAAACAACTATAATCTGTGAAAGGGGAGCTGTGTAACGTCCATTATCAAGACAAGGCAGAGCATATGTGTACAAATCTCTGCTGTGTTTCCATTGTATTTGGCATAGGCTGAGAAACATCACAGCCGGAATTGGGCCCCAGCTATGTAAACCTTATTGAAAAATGGAGTGTCTATCCTGAAGAACGCAACTTATTCTCAAACAGTGAAGAATCCAACATTGTTAACAACACTTAAAGAGCATATCCAAACAGTGTCTGCATTTGATTGTAGCCCTCTATCCCACCCTTTGGTTGGGGCTTGCTTTTAAAAACATAAGTATTTGTGCCAAAGGCTTTATTTTTGTACAGTGATTAGCACAATTGGAACCCAGTCTTCACTGTGGGTTCTGGGTGCACGTATTAAATAATACTAATGATATTGGGTGGGATTTTTCAGAAGGATTCACCAGTGTCCTAACTCAGTTCTCCTTGGAGTTGGTGTGAGTTTTACTGTTACCATTACCATACGAGCAGAATACCCCTGTTTGGAGAGTGGGAGGAAACTGAGCTACAGGATTCTTCAGGAAGCTTGTTTTTGCTGATTCCATTTGGGTGCATCTGCCATTTGGGGTGCAGTGACAGTTTTAGGTGCCCATAGATTAAAGTCCTGTAGGATTTCAGCACATCACATGTGATCCAATAAATAAAGCCTCTCCTTGAGTGATAAATACTAAAAATTACATTCTTAAAAGAATATCAATGGTTCAAAATCACTCTTGATTTTTCTTCCTGGTGATAGCTCTGTGCTAAAGACTCACAGACCAAAATCTCCCATAGAGTGATAGAGGTGAGGGGAAATTACCAATATGTAGCAGCAGCAGCAAAGAGCATGACCAGATAAACAGCACCCGTAATCCTTAATACATTTGTCTCTGTAACCTGAAAGAGGAGCAGATAGTTGACTTTGTAGAGACAGTTTCACTCAGGGCAATGAAGCACGCAGCAGGGTCAAGTACCCATGGGAGCGATGAGCATGCAAGAAAGAGAGAGAGAAATACCTGAGCTCTGTGTTGCAGACCTCCAGCAAGGAGAAGTAGGATGCAAATAAGACTGAAAGCAGGTCAGGGACAGATCTGTTTGATTACTGCTCCATAATCCGGGACCATGGGAAACACCAGCATGAAGGGCTGATGCCGTACCATGATGGGATGTCCTGAAGGTGATTTAGGATGCATGTAAAAGGAGCTGGTCAGGCTAAGTCCCACTAACAATGTCATAGCTGTGTGCCATACGGTAGTGTTTGGGCCTGAGTCGCCACTCCATTCCAGCAGGTGTAGTGACCTTGAACACCAGTGAGTTACTCTGCTGAGTGCAGTACCATTCTGCTGCCATTGGACGATGTCTTGTGGGCAAAGCTTCTCCAGCTCCTGGAGGATCTAGGACAGTAGCATGCTGCCTGTGGGCTACCAGTGTCCCATTGAGGTTCTACGCGTGGTCTGTGAGACATTTCGTTTACCATTGCCCATCCACAGGATCGCCAGTTTCTGATTTTCGTCCGCATGGATTTTTTTCTACTAGTATTACTAAAGTGACATGGACGTGAAGCAAGAGCACGTGAAGCAAGGTGTATGCTGATCGCACACAATGTTGACTGTCAGAGCCGTGCGCTCCCTCTGCATCCAATCAAAGTGCTGCTACGGTTCAATCAGCATGCCCTGCGAATTCTTAAGGATGCAAGCGCAGTTAGCAAAACTATTGTATAGGGGAGATCATCTTTGTTACGACCATCCTGGGGCCTCATGCAGCTCGTTCACTAGCCTAGGTTACCTTTCACTAGTCTAGGGAGCTACTGCTCCACTGCAGATAACAGAGGGAGCTGTTACTTAACAGGAATTCCCAACTTGTGTGGCTATAGGGCTCCTGGGACTGGTGCTGTACTCCCTGTTGCATCTGCACCTACTTTGCCTGTTCTAGCGAGGCAAGGTGAGGCTCTGTGCTGCAGCTATGTCTGAGAATGGGAAGGTCCAATGGGATGAATGTGCAGAGGTCCTGGGAGAAGGGTTTCAGTGAGGGTTGGTTGGGGGGGTTCAGCTAGACGAAGGAAGCCCCTTGAGCCTGAAGATGGATTGTTCTGTGTTAGAGGTGGGTGGGTGTTAGGAGGATCATGTGGGAGCAGAAGGGGCTTGAGTTGAAAGTGGAGGGGATCAGCAACTGAGAGGAAAGGGGCAGTGCTATTCGGACGGGGTAGGAGTTTTTGAGCTGAGGCAGTTCAGCATCTAGTGGTGTTGAGAAGGACCCCGAGAGACTTAGATGGGAGGGGCTCCCCAAGAAGGGGTGGGTGGGAATGAGGAAGATGGGGCACATGAGTAGATCTGAGGTGGAAAGGTTGGTTTGACGGGACTTGAGAGTGGGTAAAAGAGGACATATGTGTGTGAAGGGGATAGATTTAAATAAGGATGCTAGTTGCCCCCCTGCATGGGGAGGTATACGAGTGGGAGAGGTATGTGAGTGGGAGGTATACGAGCAGGGTGTACTATTGTAACTACAGCCTGACCCCTCTATTTGGTCACTAGCTGTCAGATCTAATATTTTTCACAAATGTCTGTTTCTCACCAGGCCCAGGAAAATCAGTATAGTGCATGCATCTTGCTCGACATCCTGCACTTCAACAATGGGTATCCATGCAAAATCCATGTTGGCTCCAGGAATCCCTCTCACAGCCACTGACCAGCCTCAGCTCCTTGCAGGTTAGTTCACGTGGATAAATGTTGGGGAAGGGAGGCTGTGTTATTAATAATAACAACGGCGACGCATTAGGCATGGGCGTGAGCAGAATCTGAACACTTGCAAACCTTGGGTGGGCCAAAATGTGCAGTTCTGATCTATTTTTATGTATAGGCAGAATTAATATTTTACTTGTCTATGATACTTTCATTGAGTATTGAAGCTATTCACTCATGAAACCTCCCAACACCTTTTGTTATGAGCACACTTGTTCTAGAGACTAGGCACAAAGTGGTAGCATGAATTACACTGAAAAGTCAAGTATCACACACAGGGTAAGATCATGGCCCCAGCAAAATGACTGGCAAAACTTCTGTTGACGTCAGTGGGGCCTGAGTTTTATGAGGAGTATCTGTGGCTGTGTCACAAACAGTAACCAGGGTTGCTGGCCCTGTGTGATAAGCGCTGGACCTTGCTCTCAGTAATTTCAGGCCAGAAGTTCACAGGAAAGCCTCACAATCAAAACAGAACACTTGAAGAATGTCAACAGTTAGACAAAAAGCTCTGCTGTATGGACTCGCTGCAGCAAAAATGAACCGTGATTACGGGCTGGATTAAAACAACTTGGAGTCCTAGGCACACCATGACATGGGTTCCTCCGATAGCATTGCCCCCAATGTGGTGTGGCAGGGGGTTTCCGTCCCTCAGAGGCAAGGGCAGTGCTCCTTTCTGTGCTCTCGAAAGTCAGTTGGTGTTCTCCTCTCAGGAGCAGTAGAGGTGGTAGCATGGGTCCTTCTCCCCACCCCAATATTAGATGATGCTTGCTACACTTCTCCTGCTCTACACATACTCCTCTGTTTGGGTGGCATTGTTAGGGTCCCCACAATTTCTGGCTCTGATTAACACCCCGGTGATACTGTGACCCCCTATTTTTATGGAAATGTGTTTTTTAAATATGAATATGCACAAGCTAAATATGTTTTATGTAAAAAGGGGCAATTAACCTATCATTCAAGAGTTTGTAACCCTCTCAATATGCATATTCTATTTGTATGCATGTATCCTTCTTGTATGTGAAGTTAGACATATGAGGTATAAACCTGTTTATTAATCTAGGTCTTTTAGTGAAAGCCATTAATGGTACTTAAAGAACTTAATAGCCTGGTACTCAAGGCAATGATCTGTGAATAGTCTTGTTTTTCTGGTAAACCTGAATAGTGGTTGCTTCAACAAAGATAGGGGACCATGTACTCTTCCATGCAGAGACTGGGGAGAATGAACAAGGACTTCCCACGCTGGGGGAAATTCTATTTAAGCAAATTGTGATTGTCTTCATCTGGCTTCACAGACTGCTTCCCACCAGAAGAGGACACATGAAGAGACCTGGAAATAAAGAACTCTAATGAGGGGAGAAGCTATTAGACCCAGGTCAGAGAAAAGATCAGTGCTGATTTGAAGAACTTTACATAAACTAAGGACCAGGGTGAGAAATTATGATCTGTAACAATTTTTCTTAGCGTATTAGGCTTAGCTGGTGTGTTTTGTTTATTTTAAGTTAGTAACTTATTTTTGATCTGTCTGTCATCGCTTGCAGCCACTTAAATCCTACTGTTTGTACTTAAAAAACAGAAGTGATTTTATAATCAAACCCAGTATAAATAATTGTTACCTGGGGGGAACAACAGCTTCACATGTCTCTCCTTCATTGACAAAGGGAGCAAACTTTGAGCTTTCTCTATGTAAAACATTTATAAAGAGTAAGACGGATTTATTTGGGGATTTGGTCCTATTTAGGGTTGTGCTTCTGAGTGCTGTCAAATCCTTGAAATGGAGCTCGCCCAGAGCTGATCTGTGTCTGTGTTACTCTGCTGGGAGGTGGTTACCCCAACTCTTACCTTTGAGGGAGACCAGCATTTCTGGCTCAGCAAGACAGGGTGGTGTGCATGCCCCAAAGGGGTTAGTAAGTGAGCTCAATGGTATGATCTTCCTGTTGAGTGATAGTCTCAAGGGGATCTCTGTGAATGAACCTGTCACAAACCCAATTGAGAGATCTGGGTGCATTCACAACTCTCAAAGCTATCCCTTCCAGGCCTTTACAGACCCTGGCAACTGGGGTGCAAAGTGTGAGTCTGCAGTGCCCATGCTATAATCCGGCTGTGGCCTGTTTTAGATGAGAGTCCTCATGTAGTGGTTGTGAAGCTAGGTCCTTTTTTGGCTGATGATCACAAGTCAAGACTGTCAGCACTTAGCTGCTTATCTGTCAACTGGATTTTCCATTGTTTAAGATTTGGGATCCTGATTATCTAGAAATGTCATAGCTCTAAATTAAACTTTCTATACCAGGTATATATTCTAATGCACTAAATCAGCCCCATATTCAGGTTGTAAATCTGTATTAGCACTGTTATGTTGGGGGCTGAGTAATCATATCACTTTACTGAAGCCCATGGTCACTACAGCTACCTTCTATTCAGTCTAAATGAAGAGACATTTAAAATGTATTTAGTGATAGCTCTGAAACAATGAAATACCCTCCTCCCCCAAGATTAGGTCACATGCTAGCCTGGGCAGGGATTGGGCTACTATGCGATTCAAGACATTCTTAGGGGATCTGATAACACGTGCAGTGGTAGGGGACTGATTGGATTGCAGATGTGTGCTTTTTAACAAAGAGAGGAAAAACATGGGAGAAGCACAGCAGTTCTAGAGTGCCTCTGAGAAAAGCAGAGAGAGAGGGTACGTCTACACTACAGCGCTAGTTCGAACTAACTTAGTTCGAATTAGTTAATTCGAACTAAGCTAGTTCGAACTAACGCATCTAGAACTAAAAACTAGTTCGAACTAGCGTTTTGCTAGTTCGAACTAGTAAGTCCACATTGAGTGGACTCTGAACAGGGCTTAATGATGGCCGGAAGCAGTGCCGGCAGGGCATAAAAGGAGGACTTAGAGCATGGAGATACTGTCTCAGGCTAGCCGAGGGCTGCGCTTAAAGGGTCCCGACCCCCACCCCGGACACACAGTTCTAAGGGGTGCCCCGCTTGCAAAGAAGTTCTGGCTTGGAGTGCCCTGAGTGCCCACACTGGGCACATCACACCACTCGGCCATCAGCCCGGCTGCACTTGCCGCAGGCTGCCATCTGGGGAGAGGGAGTAATTGGGGGGCTGCAGGAGAGCTTCCACCCCCAGAAGCCCGCAGAGCCAGCCCAGTCCTCCCCATCGGGGGCTCGTACCCCATTCCTCCCTCACCTCCTTCCACTTACCCTTCCCTAGCCCCCCTTCTTATTGATGTACAAAATAAAGATAACGTTTCTTCCAACATTGACTCTGTCTTTATTGAAAAAAACTGGGGGAGACTGGGAAAAGGAGGTGGGAGAGGGGAAGAGAAAGGCTGGGAGAGGGGAGGGCAACTAACATGATCAGGGGTTGGGAACAGGTCCCAGATGAAGAGAGGCTACAGAGACTGGGACTGTTCAGCTTAGAAAAGAGGAGACGGAGGGGGGACAGGATAGAGGTCTCTAAAAGCAGGGGTTGGGTGGAGAGGGTGCATTCAGAAAAGTTCTTCCTGAGATCCCATAAAGAAGGACTAGAGGACACCAAAGGAAAGGAATGGGTAGCAGGCTTGAAACTAGTAAGAGAAAGTTGTTCTTCTTGACAAAGCAAATAGTTAACCTGTGGAACTCCTTGCTGCAGGAGGCTGTGAAGGCTACAACTAGAACAGAGTTTAAAGGGAAGTGAGATCAAGTCATGGAGGTTGGGTCCATGGAGTCCTATTAGCCAGAGGGTAGGAGTGGTGTCCCTGCCCAAAGTTTGTGGAAGGCTGGAGAGGGATGGCACGAGACAAATGGCTTGGTCATTGTCTTCGGTCCATCCCCTCCAGGGTCCCTAGGGTTGGCCGCTGTCGGCAGACAGGCTACTGGGCTAGATGGACCTTTGGTCTGACCCAGGACGGCCATTGTAAGCTCAGGGCTCAGTGTCGGGGGTCTCAGTGGACCCCCTTGATTTTCATGCACACCTGGTCCTGGGTGGCCAGGCTGGCAGCTCTCCTGCCCTAGACGGCCACTTTCCTGTGCCTAGTGCGGAGATCGTGGACGAGGTCCACGATGTCCACACTAGCCCAGGAAGGTGCCCGCCTCTTGCGGTCCAGGGCAAGGGGTCTGCTAGCTGGGTGCTGGCAGGCTTGCACCTGGCACGGGCACCGTAGCCAGCCCGTGCCCCTTTAAGGGGTCCGGGGCCGGGAGGGGGGCATAGAGTTTCCCTGGTGTTGGCCAGAGTGGCCACCAGGGAAACCTGGGAAGCCTTAGCCTCCCCCTAGTTCGAACTAAAGGGCTACACAGCCCTTAGTTCGAACTAGCTAGTTCGAACTAGGCGTTAGTCCTCGTAAAATGAGGTTTACCTAGTTCGAACTAAGCGCTCCGCTAGTTCGATTCAAATTCGAACTAGCGGAGCGCTAGTGTAGCGCATAGGAAAGTTAGTTCGAACTAACGTCCGTTAGTTCGAACTAACTTTCTAGTGTAGACATACCCAGAGAGAACTTTTGGGGAAAGCACTGAGTGGAAAGAGGCTTGGGGCTGTGAGCAAAAAAGACTGTCTCGTGTTTTTTAATTCCCGTAGTGTTCAGGAATAAAATACATTGTATGTTCTTTGCCGATAAACAGGTTTGCATTAAAGAAATACTTGACTCCATCCTCAGTTTTTCTTAATGGAAACAATCCACAAGACCCCAAATTTGGCTAGAAGTAACAACACTAAGAAAATATTTTAAAAGCTGATGCTTTAGAGTCATTACAGAGTGCAAATTGAAAACCTGGGAAGAAGAAAAAAAAATGACGGGAGTGTCTGACAGAAACTGTGTGACCTTAAAAGAACATCAAGCTGCAATTCCACTCACTGGTGAGATGGAATCAGGTAGAAATTAATATTCAAAAAAGAAATACACTTCCACTTTGTCAGCCAGCTTAAATCCTATTGTGCACTGGTGACTTCCTTTTGCTGTGTGCCAAACAGCTATAATTTTGTGAAGAGTTGTAGCCAAATAAAAAATAACTACATACACGGTAGGCATTACCAGTATATTATCCTCACACACTTGAAGAACACAATAATAAAACTTATTTTTTATGTAAAAACAAATGAAATTTGAATAAGATTTTTTTTAATTAAAAAAGGAAGATATTTGGGCCTCCCAGCTTGGACACAAGCAAGTTCAGGGCAAAAGTAGATACAAATTAAACAACATATGGCTAGAATGCAGGGGTTCCCTAGATTTGGGCAAAGGGTTTTCTGACCAGAAAAATTCCCATTTGCTTTCCTCAACAAAATTGGAACGTTTTTAAGGCAGTGGCAAAGATTTTCATTTTACTTCAAAATTTTCACTTAGTTTTGCATAGAAATATTTGTTTAATTTTGCTATTTAAAACTGAAAATATTTATGTATTTTGTTTTTTGCTTTAGATTCCTTTGAAAAAGTGTGTGAGGGAGAGAAATAGAGAACCATTCCCCTCTCCAAAGAGTTCTCTTAAATAAGAAATGGTTTGGATTTTGAAACTGAAAGCTTTCTGATTTGAAATTAAATTAAAATTAGAAACATCTGTGGAAACTGTAACAAATACAACAAAATCTTTGGTTTTTTGGGAGTGGGGTAGGAGAAAGGAGAATATTTTCTTGGGAAATACCTTTTTTTCAGACTGATTGTAATTGGGATTCCTATGTGGAATGAGCAAGAAAGATGATCTACCATGACAGACTTTTGCGGAATGCTGCAGTGGTATTGTTTTGGGATGCTACTTGATTTGAAGTCTATTTGAACAGACAGAAAGGTTTTTTTTTTTTTTTTTTTTACTGTAATCAAGGGAAATTATTTTCTTTAAAAGCAGTATGCAAGGGAACCTGTCCTGGTTCAGTACATTCCTTAGGATTGTCAGTACTAATAAGATGAATCCCTTTATGTAGCCTTTTTATCTTGTTACCAAATTTAGAAGAAAATAATCATGAAAAGAGGATTTAATCAACGCAAAGAAAAGAGAGCAAATGTAAAAGATGCATTTTCATTAGGTAATTGAGGAAGACTCTGGCCTCTTCTAGTCTGCATATCCCGTAAGTATCTTACCAGTTATTTCTCTTAAATCCTTTATATTGGATGAGATATAATGGATAGTGGATCTGGATAATGGTTTTCCTTCAGTTTCTGAGGCACCTGTCATGTTGTGTGATGCCACTTTACATTTGTTAAAATAACGTTGCACGACACAACACAATGCAATGCAAAATGAAGCGTTATAAATGTGACATGGCGTGTCTAAAACAATTCTTGCTTTTAGTGGATCAGTTATCCTTTAAAAGCTGGTATTTAGGATTGTCCTTAGATAATTCAATAGCTCCACATCTCTTGCAGGAGTGATGTCAACCTGCGTTACCGTTTCTGCTTAACAGAGATGATGGGAGAAGATGGCATGAAAAGGGATGAAAGAAAAACAGATTCTGAATACATATCCTGAAGCACTTTTTCAAGCAAGTGATCAAGGAAAGTTTTTGGGGCCAAGCTCTGTAGCCCTGTAAGAAACAGTAACCATCATAGAACAGTGGGGCTCTGAGGCTATTCTCCTTCTTGCTTTTTTGTTTTCCTTGACTGTTTAACCCTCCCTCACTGTGAGTGCACTGAAATCATGGAAGAAACATGTTAACACAGTTTTGCCTGAGAAGGAAATGAAGTGGATTTAGACCAAAAATTGTTCTAAAGCACGGGGAATACAGCGTGGCATTCCAATAAACTCAAAGCACATGATCTTTATTTTTTTCAGATTACAAACAAATACCAAAACAAACTAGATCGAGAAAAGTTTCTCCTTGGAATCAGGAGCCTAAAACCATGGATTTCACAGGTATACAAGACTGACTTTGGTGAGAAGCAGAGTGCTAAATATAAGATTTGACTGCACAGGCATGCTTGGAGAAACAAAAAACTTGGCATGAATAAAATCAGTTACCAGCTCTAGGGAATTCTTAACCTTTAACATTAGCGCTCCTTCATACTGCAAGAAAGTACCATCCTCTTTTCTTATATCATCTCTCTAGCATTAAAGTGTTTTTTTTTTTTTACTTTATTATTGCTTTATTTCCAGGAATCCCCACAAGGAACTTTCCCAACAAAACAGAACAAAAAAGAAGACATGCCCAAAGAGTTTAAACATTCCCTTGTCTAACATGGGATTCTTCATTATTGATTGTGTATTTACCGGCAACCTGTTGATATAGAGTGGAATTTTTTAAGGTGCCTGGAAGTTTGGCATCTAAATCCTTATTCAATTTCAAAATTCCTGTTGTTTCTTTTTATATTACTTACTTTAGTACATAAAGGCTCCCAACTGAGATTAGCATTAGGCCTTGTACAATCACAGAGTAAGGGACAATATCTACACTGGAAAGCTTGCAATCTACATAGAGTAAGAGACAGAAAATATTTGCACCCCCATTTTATAGATAGGAAGCTGTGGTACAAAGAGCTTAACAACCGTATTTTTTCAAAAGAACCTACATTATTTAGATTCCCAAGTCCTATTTTTTAAAGACTGACTTGGGCCCAAATGCTGCAAGGGGTGGGAATTAGTGCCTACCTAATGGCGCATAGGCTCCCAAGGCTAGGTTTACACTAGGGGGCAATGTCAAGCTAAGGAACGCAACTCCAGCTATGAGAATAGCATAGCAGGAGTTGATGTACCTTACGTTGAGTTACTGCGGCATCTCCACCATTGGGTGTGTCAATGGCAGAAACTCTCCCATCGACACCCCTTACTCTTTTCAATCTCATAGAGTACTGTAGTCTACAGGATCATGATTAGTGGTCAATTTAGTGGGTCTTTACTAGACCCACTACATCGACTCTTCAGGAGATCGATCCCCATGGTGCCGATCTTCTGATAAGTGTAGATAAGGCCTAAGTGACTTGCCCAGGGTTATATAGGAAGAACGTGACAGAGCCAGGAACTGAACACACATCTCCTGAATCAGATGACAGACTAACCGCAAGACTATCCTTTTTTTTAACAATGGTCAAACCGTTCCATTAGTGTCAAATGTTACCTTCTTTGATTTCCCCAGACGTTTTAGATTTTAGAAGCAGTAACTCTGAGTTCCTCACTCTCCCCCTTGTCGCTTTTTACCCCCACAGGTGTTGAAACAGATATATGTTTTTTTATTTATTTTACAATCAGAATGTGTTTAGAAGTATGTGAATGTAGGTACCCATGACAGTACTTAGTTTTTGCCAGTTTTATGCCAAATCTGGAAAGACGGGCTTCTAACCCTTAAATGGAGGGAAATGTGGTTGACATGTAAGTAACAAAATGCCATTGGGCATTGTTACCCCAAAAATATTCTCACTGGAGACCACCCAGGGTTACACTAGTATGGGTTTATTTCCACTAGGTAAAACTAAAGAGGAGAAAGCAGCCACCAAAGGTTTAAGCTAAAGAAGATAGAACTCTCTCTTGCACACACACAGACAAGCAAGCAAGCACACACCCCTCCATTCATTCACTCATTCACACCCATTCATTCCTGCCCTGAGGCAATCACACACTTACACAGACATATGGGTTGCAGAAGGAGCCAAGACATGTGGATCCTGGAGGGTCTGTCTGCTCATCATGGTTGGGGAAGCTGGTCAGGAGGAGAGCACTGGAGAGGAGCTTCTCAGGATCAGTGGAAGGAAAAAGAGAGTCTCACATGTGCTCCTTCTCTTTATATAGTGTCTGAATGGCTCCTGTGACTCATTCACCTTGTCATCAGGGAGCATGCCCAGACTTCCCTTTATCCAGCAGAGAGCATGCCCAGACTGTGATGACTCACTGCCATGTGGTCCATTGTTCCAAGCCTTCTTCAAACACACTCACACACTCTCTCCATTTACTCAGGGGAGAATGCATCTTAGGGAAAGTTACAAGCAAGGTGGCTGCATGTTACAAAGATTACAAAGTTGCAGTTTACAGTAAGTTTGAGAGTTACACAGATTGCAAAGATTGACAAGAATCACAATAAATTACAGTTTAAAACCTTAGACCTTACAGTTTGGTGTAGCTTTAGAAAATCTATGTATATAAATCTAGTGAGCTCAGGTGGAGGCTTTTTTATGCAACAGGCATGATTTGCGATAGCTGTTCAATAAGGGGTGCAGCTTGAAATAGTACTCTTGAGTGTTCTAGTTCCTCTGTTGTCACTGAGTCTCCCAATGATACGTTAAACTGATAGTAAGAGGCCCAATGAGATGTCATGGAATGAAGCATAGCAGTGTGATCTTGGGGAGTTAGTCTGCCTCACCAGGCCCCTAGGCAAGGTGGGGTGGGCCTGCTGTGTGCCCCTGGAAGAGGTGGGTCCTCGGGAAGAAGGGGCAGGGCTAGGACTCAGCAGCCCTGAGCTCCACATGGAGCGTGGTACGTCTTCCCTAAGCAGCTCTTAGTGCTGCCTGGAGCATGCGGCATGGCACTCTGGCAGCAATTTGAAAGGCCTGGGGCTCTGGCTCCGCCTACAGTTGAGATGGTGATGGCCAGGAGCTCCGGGCCCTGTTGTACCCTTGGGCCTCGGAGCAATTCTCCTCTTTGTCCCCCTGTTGTTGGGTCTGCTTTGCAATATAAATATGAGAAGGTAGAACAAGATGAGTTTGGTCAAGAACTGTAACCAGTGCAGAGTTCTAGTTAGTGCAGCTTCGCTGATGGTGTGTTGGCAGACAGCAAGGGGACCCCAGGGAGGTCCATAGATGGTGCAGCATTGATGCTCCAGGTCTCTCGGGGTTCAACAGATTTGGGGTGGGCCTTTCATCCTTTTGAACCCCAATGGGATAACATGGAGAGTCTCTGGGTGAGTGCCCCCCCCCCCCCCCACATGGGAAGCGAGGATGTGGACGAAAGGTTACTCTCTCTGTAGGACTAATAACTATAATAGTCTAGAGGCATGATAATGTAAATGTGGAAGTTGAATTTCAAGTGTCAGGTCATGGTCATACACAGGCAAAGCATAATTATAGTGGAAATGATCATCTTTCTTTGTCAAAGGAATGCCATAATTGTTGTTTGAACTGATTGTGTATCTTGCCACAAATCTGAGCAAACAGGAATATCATTCATTTGTCATAATTCAAGGAACTAAAATATCTTACCCCGTGGGCTGTCTTTGTTTTTCTTTTCTTAAAAGCCCAGCAGAATATTTGTCAGGAAAAACTGGCTTATAATATTTACTTAAAAGATATAAAAAAGAAGTAAAAACTGCATGTAATAAGCAAATGGCAAAATCATTTGGGGGTAAACTGGTGTAAACCAGCAAAGACCCATTAAGAATATGGCTCTTTTGCTTCCCTAAGTACCTGATGTTCACCCTCAGAAAACAATATGGGCAGTGCCATTGTTTCTGGACTTTCCTTTTTCCTGAGGGTGTGTTTACACCAATGGTCCCCAAACTGTGGGGCACAGAGGGTCATTTGGGGCAGACATGTTGTGGGTCCCACAGCAGGTAGAGAGGGAGTACCACTCAACTCCGTTCTGCCTCCCATCTCCAGCTGCATCCCTGCTGTACCCCGCTGCTCCATTCCCAGCCCAGCTCTGCCCCCAACTCAGCTCCACTCTGCCCCCAGCTTAGCTCTGCCCTCATTCCCTCTCTTCCTTTAGGCAAGCTCCCCCATCCCCAGCGCCTCTGCTGAGGAAGCTTTGGCTGTGCACTAGCGCAGACACATTCCATTATTGGTCAAGGGGAGTGTGGGCCCCCATGGACTACACTGATACTGGCTCTGGGATGCTTTGAGAGGGATAGTTGTCAGGATCCAACCCAAGCCCAAATGTCTACACTACCATTTTACAGCCGCACTGCCTGAGATCTGCCAGCCTGAGTCAGCATACAAGGCCAGCCATAGGTGTCTAATTACAGTGTAGAAATACCCTTAGTTTTTTTTTTCCCACTGAGCCCTCTTTGCCACAGGAATTCTGAAAGCAGATCCCTCCTCTAAAGTCTTCCCTTTTGCTGAAAAGTTTCACAAAGGAAAAAAAGTGAGACACTGTAACCAGCTCATGTTACCTCTGAAGATGTATCAGAAAAACGTGCTGAGGAGAATCCTCAGAAGTGCTGGCACTTGAGACAATGTCGGTGCTCTCTACTTTTGAGCATCCCACCTCTGTGGTGCCCTGTCTGTGCTTGCTCACAGCATGAAAGAAAAAAATGCTACCGTTCAATGCAAGACTGATCCTACCCACAATAACCCCAATTCTGCTTCATATATTGAAAATATTTCCTGCCTTTCACATCTGACAAAGAGAAAGATGTGTATTTTCCAAAGACATGCTCAGGGTTAAAACAAGAGATCAGGTACTGAACAATCCTGTTCTACAATATCATTTTAATATGATCTTATTTCCCACGGCAGAGCCATGCAGTGCTTTTGGTCAATGCTATTGAATAAGCATAGAGCCATCTAGACAGGACACTGCTGACATTTCAAAATGCAAATTATTTTCTGTGAATACAGAGGAGTGTGGGACTATTAATTTAAAAGCAGTCTGCTTTAAGCAAAGTATGTTGAAACCTTATTCAGTTGACACCCTCATATAGGATTAACCCAGTTTTCAAGATGTGCCCAGTACACTGTCAATTATTTGCATGCATTGGCTGCATAATTGAGTCCATTATGCTGTTTAGTGTTTCATTTACTTGGGCTCTTTAGTAGCTCATGAATTTCTTTGGTGATCACTATGCCAGCCTCCTCCAGTGGTTGCTGTTGTAAATCCCAAGACCTTTTGTCCCAGACTCAGGACTGTACCCACCTGAGCAATTTTTGGCACAGTTCAGAAGGGTGTGCTCAGGGCCTTTCTTACCCATATGCAGAGTGTACAGCTACATAGGGCACCCAGAAATGTGGAGCCCCACTGGAGCTATGTCTAGACTATGGAGTTTTTCTGGGATACTGTTGTTATCCCGGAAAAACTCCACCGTGTCCAGGGAACGCATCTGATCTTCCGATATTTTTTGTGGAAGAGCAGACGTGCTCTTTTGTAAGCCTGGAAGAAGGGCCCTTCCAAAAGAGGAAGTTTTTCTGAAATTTGGCCTAGTATAGATGGGACAAATTTCAGAAAATCCACTTAAAAAAAAAAAAAAAATTGGAAAAA